TACCAGACAGGGATGCCCACTCTCACCACTGCTATTCTATATAGTTCTGGAAGTTCTAGCCAGAGTGATTAGGCAAGAAAAAGAAATGAAAGGGATACAAATTGGGAAGGAAGAAGTCAAACTATCCCTCTTTGCAGATGACATGATTCTTTATTTAGGGGACCCAAAGAACTCTACTAAGAGACTATTGGAACTCATAGAAGAGTTTGGCAAAGTGGCAGGATATAAAATCAATGCACAAAAATCAACAGCCTTTGTATACACAGGCAATGCCACGGCTGAGGAAGAACTTCTAAGATCAATCCCATTCACAATAGCTACAAAAACAATCAAATACCTTGGAATCAACTTAACCAAGGACGTTCAAGATCTCTACGATGAAAATTACAAAACCTTAAAGAAAGAAATAGAAGAGGATACCAAGAAATGGAAAAATCTTTCATGTTCATGGATTGGAAGAATCAATATCATCAAAATGTCCATTCTCCCAAAAGCAATTTATACATTCAATGCAATACCAATCAAGATACCAAAGACCTTCTTCTCAGATCTGGAAAAAATGATGTGTCGTATGGAGACACAGGAGACCTCAAATAGCTAAAGCAATCTTGTACAACAAAAACAAAGCCAGAGGCATCACAATACCGGATTTCAGGACATACTACAGGGCAGTTGTAATCAAAACAGCATGGCGGCTGGTGCCGTGGCTCACTAGGCTAATCCTCCGCCTTGCGGCGCCGGCACACCGGGTTCTAGCCCCGGTCGGGGCGCCGGATTTTGTCTCGGTTGCCCCTCTTCCAGGCCAGCTCTCTGCTGTGGCCCGGGAAGGCAGTGGAGGATGGCCCAAGTACTTGGGCCCTGCACCCCATGGGAGACCAGGATAAGCACCTGGCTCCTGCCATTGGATCAGTGCGTTGCGCTGGTCGCAGTGCAGCGGCCATTGGAGGGTGAACCAACGGCAAAAGGAAGACCTTTCTCTCTGTCTCTCTCTCTCACTGTCCACTCTGCCTGTCAAAAAAAAAATTATTATAAAAAAGCATGGTACTGGTGCAGAAACAGATGGATAGACAAATGGAACAGAATAGAAACACCAGAAATCAATCCAAACATCTACAGCCAACTTATATTTGATCAAGAATCCAAAACCAATCCCTAGAGTAAGGACAGTCTATTCAATAAATGGTGCTGGGAAAATTGGATTTCCACGTGCAGAATCATGAAGCAAGACCCCTACCTTTCACCTTACACAAAAATTCACTTAACATGGATTAAAGACTTAAATCTACGACCTGACACCATCAAATTATTAGAGTGCATTGTAAAAACCCTGCAAGATATAGGTGCTGGCAAAGACTTCTTGGAAAATACCCCAGAAGCACAGGCAGTCAAAGCCAAAATTAACATTTGGGATTGTATCAAATTGAGAAGTTTCTGTACTTCAAAAGAAACAGTCAGGAAAGTGAAGAGGCAACTGACAAAATGGGAAAAAATATTTGCAAACTGTGCAACAGATAAAGGGTTGATAACCAGAATCTACAAAGAAATCAAGAAACTCTACAACATCAAAACAAACAACCCACTTAAGAGATGGGCCAAAGACCTCAATAGACATTTTTCAAAAGAGGAAATCCAAATGGCCAACAGACACATGAAAAAATGTTCAAGATCACTAGCAATCAGGGAAATGCAAATCAAAACCACAATGAGGTTTCACCTCACCCCGTTTATAATAGCTCACATTCAGAAATCTACCAACAATAGATGCTGGAGAGGATGTGGGGAAAAAGGGACACTAACCCACTGTTGGTGGGAATGCAAACTGGTCAAGCCACTATGGAAGTCAGTCTGGAGATTCCTCAGAAACCTGAATATAACCGTACCATACAACCCAGCCATACCACTCCTTGGAATTTACCCAAAGGAAATGAAATTGGCAAACAAACAAACTGCACATTAACGTTTATTGCAGCTCAATTCACAATAGCTAAGACCTGGAACCAACCCAAATGCCCATCAACAGTAGACTGGATAAAGAAATTATGGGACATGTACTCTATAGAATACTAGTATTATACAGCAGTCAAAAACAATGAAACCCGGTCATTTGCAACAAGATGGAGGAATTTGGAAAACATTATGCTGAGTGAACTAAGCCAGTCCCAAAGGGACAAATATCATATGTTCTCCCTGATCAGTGACAACTAACAGCACCAAAGGGTAAACCTGTTGAAGTGAAATGGACACTATGAGAAACAGTGACTTGATGAGCTCTTGTTCTGACTGTTGATGTACAATGTAATACTTTATCCATTTTAGTATTTTCTCTTTGTTTTGTTCTAGTACTCTTGGTTGAACTCTATGATTAACACACAATTATTCTTAGGTGTTTAAATTTTAACTGAAAAGTGATCCCTGTTAGGAATTTGGAAAACATTATGCTGAGTGAAATAAGCCAGTCCCAAAGGGACAAATATCATATGTTCTCCCTGATCGGTGACAACTAACTGAGCACCAAGAAGGAAACCTGTTAAAGTGAAATGAACACTATGAGAAATGGTGACTTGATCAGCATAGCCCTGACTGTTGATGAACAACTTAATACATTGTCCCTCTTAGTATTTTTTTTTGTTTGTTCTACTTAATACTTTTGGTTGAATACTGTAATCAATACACAATTATTCTTAAGTGTTGAAACTTAACTGAAAAGTGATCCCTGTTAAACATAAGAGTGGGAATAAGAGAGGGAAGAGATGTGCAATTTGGGACATGCTCAAGCTGACTTGCCCCAAACGGTAGAGTTAGAAACATACGAGGGGATTCCAATTCAATCCCATCAAGGTGGCATGTGCCAATGCCATTTCACTAGTCCAAGTGATCAGTTTCTGTTCACAGTTGATCATAAGGATAGGACTAAGAGTCAAAGGGATCACATAAACAAGACTAGTGCCTGCAAATACTAACTGATAGAATAAAAAAGGGAGAGAGTGATCCAACATGGGAAGTGAGATACACAGCAGACTCATAGCATGGCAGATGTCCTAAACTGCACTCTGGCCTCAGCCCTTAAGGCATGCGGATCCGGCTGAAAAGCCCATGAGAGTATTTCAGGCATGGAAAGCCAAGACACTCTGGCAAAAACAAAAACAAAAACAAAAAACAAGACCTAAATGAAAGATCTCCACGAGTGAGATCCCAGTGGTAAGAACAGTCCATCAAAGAAGGAGGTACCTTTCTCTGAAGGGAGGGGAGAACTTCCACTCTGACTACGACCTTGTCTAAATATGATCAGAGTCGGTGAACTCAAAAGACTTCCATAGCCTTGGCAACTCACGACAAGAGCCTCAGGTGATTACTGATGCCATAAACAAGAGTGTCAGTTTGTTAAGTCAACAACAGGAGTCACTGTGCACTTACTCCTCATGTAGGATCTCTGCCCTTAGTGTGCTGTACATTGAGATTTAATGCTATAACTAGTACTCAAACAGTATTTTTCACTTTGTATTTCTATGTGGGTGCAAACTGTTGAAATCTTTACTTAATATATGCTAAAATGATCTTCTGTATATAAAGAGAATTGAAAATGAATCTTGAAGTGAATGGAAGGGGAGAGGGAGTGGAAAAGGGGAGGGTTGCGGGTGGGAGGGAAGTTATGTGGGGGGGAAGCCATTGTAATCCATAAGCTGTACTTTGGAAATTTATATTCATTAAATAAAAGCTAAAAAATGCACATATTGTGTTTTTACATTTTAATTTAGCCTTAGATAATTGTGATATAATCATACACATCTTTCCTTGTTGCGGCATTATTACAATAGTAATTTTTTGCTGTATTGAATTTCATTATTTTGCTCTATGCTATTTTTTACCTCTTAACCTATTTTGGGTTGGATTTCCTTTTACATTTTAGCAAATAGAATATTTTTATACAATGCATAGCTATGCACATTGCTTTGGGTTTTTAAAGCACAGTATTAAGTGTCAAAAATTTCAGGGAACTTCTAATTTTTATTTCAGCTCTGTCATTGAATCTAGCAGATCTATTCATTGTAGAAGTAGAAGGCATATATGAATTTACCAACTGTTGTTCCAGCTGACATCTTAGTTGCACGTGACTTAATAGAGCCATGTGACACTTAGTGAGGCAGTAATCCTGCTTACATGTAGAAATGGGTGACAGGATAGCAGGTGTACTAGACAGTGCAGAAAGTGTTGGTAGCGTGTGGCAGTTCTTCATCTGGAGCCCGGGAAATGCAGTGCAGGGTTTTCGATGTGGGTGAATATGTGTGTCGTGGGGCGACAGGTCTCAGTTTCTATCACATGTGGCAAAGGACCCAGCAGTAACTGGTATGGACACAATGTGTGCTAGCTGAATGGAATGCTATTTTTGTGAGTTTGTTGTTCTTTCTTCCCTACTTTCCTCCAAACTTTGCCCCTCCTCTTTCATTACATTCAGTGAAAGAAATTAGAAAAACACACTTTCAGGTGAGCCGTCATTATCAAATGCAAGTTTGCAGTCACAGAAACAATTTGAAAAACTGAACACATACAAAATTGCTAATTGAAGACGCTGCATCAGTCTATGTCAGTGTTGGAAATTTTCCCATTAAAATCAGTAATTTATTGTTACATTTCTTGTTAAAATATTTTTAAAGCATTATCAGGAATGTGATTAATGCGTAAGTTGTATTAATTTGGAATTGAGGGTAGAAATTATTTATAAAATTGTTATCTTTTTATAATGCTATTTACCAGCTCCATTAGAATTTGAGATTTTTTTTTGTTTTTGCGCAGCTAAAACAAAGAGATATCCTATGCGAATAACCATAAATAAAATTATTTTGAAATATTAGATACTCTTTTTTTACAAGAGAAAATTCTTAGCCTGTGTTGATCACCAAATGGCAGGAGCAGCTTCGTTTTTCTAGTGGGACAGGTATTGTGTGTGCAGTGACCACCTTGCTTTGGATAAAGGATTAATAAGTGTCTTACGTTTTCCCTAGGAATGGGCTGTTTCTGGGGAGCTGAAAGGAAATTCTGGACCCTGAAAGGAGTATATTCAACTCAAGTTGGTTTTGCGGGAGGCTATACTCCTAATCCCACTTACAAGGAAGTTTGCTCAGGTAGGAATGTTTTCCTTTGTCACAACACTAAGGAAGGGCTTGTCCCTGCTGGAGGTGACAGGATCTTTAAAGTGCAAGTACAATGTGTGATGTGTGTGTGTTTCCTCAGTTTTCTCTTTACCATTGCTGTAAATGTGCTGTTTGCTTTTCCCTTTGTATTTGAAGGCAGTGAACGTGCTACGGAATGTGTCAGCAAGCTCCTGCTGTGGAATAAGTACCCTAAAAGGTAGAGAGTTAAAACAGGATAGATGACGATTCCGCTGACCAGCCATCTAGGCTGGCCTCAGCTTAGTGGTTCTGCTGCTCGCCGCCCTCAGACTCCCTCACATGGCTATGGTCAACCAGTGGGTTGCCTGGGGGCTGGCTGGTGTGAAATGCTTTCACTCACACGTCTGGCACTTGGTACTGGCTGCCAGTGAGTGCTCATTATCAGCTGAGGTAATGGGGATGATGGACCTGGGGTCTTCAGCACACTGGCCTGGCCTAATTCACGTGGTGGTGGATGGTTTGTGTCACTTCTACCTTATCCCGTTAACCAAAACATACCACCCGATCCAACCCCGAGTCAAGGGCAGGTATATCCCCTACTGAGGTATACAAGGATATAGGAAGGGGCTAGGAAGTCAGGACTGTTATGACCACATCTACCACATGGCACAAGCAAGTATGAAACATTGTTTTTAGGGAAAAGCTTTAAAAGCCATGGTATAATACAGGGATTGGTAAATTGTGACTCACAGGTCAAAACTTGTTCAGAAAAGATGTAAAGAAAATTTTGTTAAAACACAGACATGCCTATTTTTGGGGCATATTTTCTGTGAATATTTTAATGCCACAATGGGAGAGTTCTGTGATTGTCACAGACTAGTGTGCTATGCCGAACATATTAAATGTCTGGCCCTTTTCAGAAAAAAATTGGCTGACCTCTGCTCTAGACTAACAGGATAGGTGGGTGCCCTCATGGCCAATTGTAGCTCAAATACCAGAGTATCTTTCTGGATTTGTTTCTCTCCTCTTCTCCCTCCCCCTCCAAGAGAGAGGGGAAGGAAGAAAAAGAAGGATCTTCCAACCACTGGTTTACTTCCCAGATGGCTGCAGCTGCAATGGCCAGGGCTGGGCTAGGCCAAAGCCAGGAACCTGGAACTCCACCCAGGTCTCCCACATGGATGATAGGGACCCAAATACTTGGGCCATCTTCTGCTGCTTTCCCAGGCACATTAGCAGGAAGCTGGAGCAGAAGTGGAACAGCTGGGACTCAAACTGGCACTCATGTGGGATGTCTCATTGCAGGCTGTGGTTTAACCACTGCACCATAATGCTGGCCCCAGTTCCTGGGTTTCTTTGTTGTCCTGCCAGCTCAAGTAGCATTTAAATTACATTTTTAAGAAGAATATTTTGTTGCCATCTTAAGAGGTCTTTATTTAAAAAAATTTATTTATTTATTTGAAAGGCAGAGTTACAGAGAGGCAGAGGCAGAGAGAGAGAGAGAGAGAGAGAGAGAGAGAGATAGATAGAGGTCTTCTATCCTCTGGTTCACTCCCCAGATGGCTGCAATGTCTGAAACTGAGCCGATCCGAAGCCAGGAGCCAGGAGCTTCTTCCAGGTCTCCCACGCGGGTGCAGGGGCCCAAGGACTTGGGCCATCTTCTACTGCTTTCTCAGGCCATAGCAGAGAGTGGATTGGAAGTGGAGTAGCTGGGACTTGAACCAGCGCCCATATGGGATGCTGGCATTGCAGACAGAGGCTTTACCCACTACACCACAGTGTTGGCCCCTTAAGGGTCTTAATAGGGAGGCTTTAAATTTTACTACACTGGCAAAAATGAGACTTAACAAATAATGTAAACAGTTTTACCTTTTTAAAACAAAAGGTCATGCTTGCTTTGGCAGCACACGTATTGAACCTGTATGATCCAGAAAACATCAGCATGGCCTCTGCACAGGGATGCGCCACAGATTTTTGAAGTGTTCCGTGTTTTTACCAAAAGATGTTTTTTATAGGCCTCATGGTAACCACAAAGCAAAATATTTATAATAACTTTACCAAAAATAATAAGCAAGGGATCAAAACACACTGCCAGAGAAAACTAACTTAACCACAAAAGAAGATTGTAAGAGAGAGAGAGAGAAAGAAACTACAAAAAAAATCAGTAACCTTTGTATACACAGACAATGCCATGGCTGAGAAAAAACTTCTGAGTCCCATTCATAGTAGCTGCAAAAAAAAAAATTAAATACCTTGAAATAAATTTAACCAAGGACATTAAAGATCTCTATGATGAGAATTACAAAACATTGAAGAAAGAAACAGGAAGATGCCAAAGAATGGAAAAATCTTCCGTGATCATGGATTGGAGAATCAGCATCATCAAAATGTCCATGCTACTGAAAGTGATTTACAGATTCAGTGCTATCCCAATCAAAATACCAAAGACATTCTTCTCAACTCTAGAAAAAATGATGCTGAAATTCGTATGGAAGCACAGGAGACCCTGAATACCTAAAGCAATCATATACATCAAAACCAAGGCCAGAGGCATCACAATACCAGATTTCAAGACATACTACAGGGCAGTTATAATCAAAACAGCCTGGTACTTGCCAAAAACAGATGGATAGGCCAATGGAACAGAATAGAAAAACTGGAAATCAACTCATGCATCTACAACCAACTTATTTGTATCAAAGGAGCAAAAATCAATCCCTGGAGAAAACACAGTCTCTTCAACAAATGGTTGCTTGGAAAACTGGATCTCTGCATGCAGAAGTATGAAGCAAGAACCCTACCTTACAACTTGCACAAAAATCCACTCAAAATGGATCAAAGACCTAAATATATGACCCAATACCATCAAGTTATTAGAAAACATTGGGGAGGCCGGCACCGCGGCTCACTAGGCTAATCCTCCGCCTAGCGGCTCCCGCACACCGGGTTCTAGTCCCGGTCGGGGCGCTGGATTCTGTCCCGGTTGCCCCTCTTCCAGGCCAGCTCTCTGCTGTGGCCAGGGAGTGCAGTGGAGGATGGCCCAAGTGCTTGGGCCCTGCACCCCATGGGAGACCAGGAAAAGCACCTGGCTCCTGGCTCCTGCCATCGGATCAGCGCGGTGCGCCGGCCGCAGTGCGCCGGCCGTAGCGGCCATTGGAGGGTGAACCAACGGCAAAGGAAGACCTTTCTCTCTGTCTCTCTCTCTCACTGTCCACTCTGCCTGTCAAAAAATTAAAAAAAAAAAAAAGAAAGAAAAAAGAAAACATTGGGGAAACCCTGGAAGACATTTGTATAAGCAAAGAGTTCTTGGAAAAGACCCCCAGAGGCACAGGCAATCAAAGCAAGATTTGACAAATGGGATTCTTTCAAATTGAGAAACTCTGTACTAAAACTGCAAAATGAAGAGGCAACTGGCAAAATGGGAGAACTTATTTGCAAACTATGCAATTGATAAAGGACTAATAACCAGAATATATAAAGAGCTCAAGAAACTCAACAACAACAAAACAAACAACCCAGTTAAGAGATGGGCACAGGACTTGAACAGGCAGTTTTCAAAAGAGGAAGTCCAAATGGTCAACAGACACATGAAAAATGCTCAGGATCACTGGCCATCAGGGAAATGCAAATCAAAACCACAATGAGATTTCACCTCACCCCCTTTAGAATGGCTTTCATACAGAAATCAACAGACAACATATGCTGCGGAGGATGTGGGGAAAAAGATACCCTAATCCACTGTTGGTGGGAATGTAAACTGATGCAGCCACTTGGAAGACAGTATGGAGATACCTCAAAAATATGAATATAAACCTACCATATGACCCAGCCATCCCACTCCTGGGAATTTACCAAGGGAAATGAAATCAACATATGAAAGAGTTTTCTGTACCCCCATGCTTATTGCAGCGCAATTCACAACAGCTAAGACCTGGAATCAACCCAAATGCCCATCAGCTGAAGACTGGATAAAGAAATTATGGGATATGTACATCATGGAATACTACGCAGTAGTAAAAAAAAATGAAATCTGGTCTTTGGAACAAAATGGGTGAAACTTCAAAAGATCGTACTTAATGAAATAAAGCCAGTCCCAAGAGGACAAATACCATATGTTCTGTCTGATATGTGGTAACTAATAGAGCACCTAAAGAGTAATCTATAGAAGTGAAATTGACACTGAGATGCAATGAATTTGAGTAGTCCTTGTCTTGACTGTTAAGGAACAGTTTTTTTCCCATACTATTTGTTGAACTCTTAGTACAGAGTTAATCTTATGTGCATAAAGTTAATTGAAGTAGATTTTAGTAAAAAATAAGAATGGGAATAAGAGAGGGAGGAAGAAGCAGGATGGGAGTGCAGGTAGGATGGCTAGTAGCATGGGAAGGATCACTATGTTTCTAAAGTTGTATTAATGATATGCATGAAGTTTGTATACCTTAAATAAAAAGGTTTCTGGGGAAAAATGCTGGAGAAAAAACTAGAACAAAACTAGAAAATAAGTATCAAAGTAGCAGTAGTAAGACGTATACCTATCAATAATTATTTTAAGTAGATTATATTCTCCAATTAAATAACTTAGAGTGACAAAATGTATTGAGAGCTTTTTAAAAAAAATTCAGAGGAAACTCACTTTACTTTTAAGGACATTAAAATGAAACCCACATGAAAACAGGAGTAACAATATGTGTATCAGATTAAAATAGGGTTAGAAATCAAAAGCTGTAAAAAGAAACAAGGAAGCTCATTTTTTAATGATAAAGAGTTCAATTCAGCCAGAGGAAAAACACTTGTAAATAATAATATATGCACCCAATATCAGAGTACTCGAATACATATAGCAAATATTAATAGAGACAAAGAAAGAAATAGACTCCAACATAGTAATATTTGGGGCTTTCATGCCCCACTCTCAGAAATGGAAATGTCATTCAGACTGAAAATCAACAAAGAAACAGCGGAGTTAAATTGCAGCCTCATTCAGTTGTGTCTAACAGACATTGGCAGGACTCTCCATCCAACAGCTGCAGCGTATACATTCTTCTCAGTAGCACATGGAACATTCTCCAGGGTAGAGTATGGCAGGTCAGAAAACAAGTCTCAACAAATCAAAAAAAAAAAAATCATTGTATATATTTTCTGACTACAGTATAATAAAGCTGGAAATCAATAATGAAAACTTTAAAAACCATAGAAATATAGAAATTAAACAACTTATTCCTCAACAACCAATACATGGAGGAAGAAATTAAAAAGGAAATTCAAATATTTCTTGAGATGAATGAAAATGGAAATAAAACATACTAAAACCTATGGAATAGAGCAAGAGAAATACTTACAGGGAAATTTATTGCAATCATTGCCTACGTCGAAGAGGCAGAAAGGGGACTGTCACTGTGCTGCACTGGGTAAAGCTGAGACTTGCAATGCGGGAATGCCATATCAGAATGCTTGTTTGAGTCTCAGTGTCTCTGCTTCTATTCAGGCTTCCTGCTGATGTGCCTGAGAAAGCAGCAGAAAGTCCCTGCCACCCTTGTGGTACACTCAGTGGAATTCTTGGCTCCTGGCTTCAACCTGGTCCAGAGCTAACTGTTGTGGCCATTAGGGGACCAGTGGCTGGAAGGTTCTCCCTCTCCCTCTCCGTCTCCCTCTCCCTCTCCCTCTCCGACTCCTCCGTCTCCGTCTCCGTCTCCGTCTCCATCTCTGTCTCCCCCTCCCTCAAATAATTTTTTTTCCCATTTGTTTAGAAGATTTATTTGTTTATTTGAGAGGCAGAGTTTCAGAGAGAAAGAGGGAGAGAGAGAGGGAGAGAGAGGTCTTCCATCTGCTGGTTCATTCCCCAAATGGCTGTAATTGCTGGAGCTGGGCTGATATGAAGCAGGAGCCAGGAGCTTCTTCAAGGTCTCACATGGATGCAGGGCCCAAGAGCTTGGGCCATCTCCCACTGCTTTCCCAGGCCATCAGCAGGGGACTGGATTGGAAGTGGAGCAACCAGGACTTGAACCAGCACCCATATGGGGTGCTGGCGCTGCAGGTGGAGGCTTAACCTACTATGCCACAGCACTGCCCCATAAATTTTTTTAGAAGCAAAGAAATTCAAACTGTTATTGTCATACACCTGAAGGAACTATCAAAACATAAACAAATTAAAGCCAAAATTATTTGAAAGAAAGAAATAAAACTCAGAGCAAAAATAAATGAAATACAGAGACTAAAAAATTTATACCAAAAAACTCCAATGAAGGCCGGCGCCGTGGCTCAATAGGCTAATCCTCCGCCTTGCAGTGCTGGCACACTGGGTTCTAGTCCCGGTCGGGGTGCCGGATTCTGTCCTGGTTGCCCCTCTTCCAGGCCAGCTCTCTGCTGTGGCCAGGGAGTGCAGTGGAGGATGGCCCAAGTGCTTGGGCCCTGCACCTGCATGGGAGACCAGGAGAAGCACCTGGCTCCTGCCTTCCGATCAGTGCAGTGGGCCGGCTGCGGCGGCCATTGTGGGGTGAACCAACGGCAAAGGAAGACCTTTCTCTCTGTCTCTCTCTCTCACTGTCCACTCTGCCTGTCAAAAAAAAAAAAAACACACACACACACAAAAAAAACTCCAATGAAATGAAGAGCTTTTATCAATAAACAACAACAACAAAAAACCTTTTATTTATTTCAGAAGTAGAAAGCAAGTGAGCTCCCATCTGCTGATTTGTTCCCAAATGTTTTTAATGACCAGGACTAGGCTGGGCCAAAGCTGCAAACCACAAACTCAATCCAAGGCTTCCATGTGGATGGCAGGAACCAAATTATTTGATCCATTACCCCAACTCTCAGAGTCTCCATTAGCAGGAAACTAGAGTCAGAAGGGGGAAACAGGTATTAATTTGGGACATAGACAGCCCAACTAGTGTTTTAACTGCTAGACCAAACACTGAAGAACTAGGTCTTTGAAAAAATAAACAAAGTTGACAAGTCTTTAGCTAAATTGACTAAGGGGGCGGCAGAGAGAAAA